CGGTATATGATCGATGAAAGGTTAACAAATGCTTTTGATACAATTTTAAACTTCATTGATCAGTTTATAAAAAACGGATCAGGGTGGATAATTAAGGAAATTATATTTTTAGATATTCATTTAGGAATTTATAAGGCTGAGAGTGGTGGATGTGGTAATATCATCCTACCAAAACATTTAATTAATAAGCGTTGTTTGTTGAATATTAAATGTAGTGATAATCAATGTTTTTTATACTGCGTAATTGCTAGTTTGTATCCAAATACTAACAACAAAAATTCGATTTATTCGTACAGGAAATTTTTGAAATATTTAAATACAAATACTCTAAAATTTCCAGTAAATATTAAAAATATTCCGTCATTCGAAAAAAATAATAATTTAAAAATTCAGGTATTTGGATATGAAAAAAAAATAATTTATCCTATTTATATAAGTAAATATCAGTTCGAAAAAGAAATTAATTTGTTATTATATAAATCCCATTATTTTTTAATTAGAAACTTTAACAGACTATTGTCAGAAAAATTGGTAATACAAAAATTTTGTAAACGCTGTCTTATAGGCTTTCAAAGAAGCCACACTTTAAACGAGCATGTGAAAATATGTTCTAATTATAAATATCAGAAAGTTTCTACCCCCGACTGGAGAAAGAGCAGTTGCTAAATTTACTAATTACAATAAGCAATTATATCACCTGATAGTAATTTATTCTGATTTTGAATCGATTCTAGAAGAAGTTCGTGTAAACGCCGTAGATCTATATTCTAGTTTCACTAAAACTATTCAGATTCATAAACCTATATGTTATTCTATCGTTATTATAGAAAATGATGATGATTTATTATATTCTAATTTTTATTGTGGTAAAGATGCTGTTAAGCATTTTTTATTTGATATCCAGAATTAATTAAATATTTTATTAGATAAAATAAATAGTTATGTAGAAATGAATGTAGATACTATTCCCGATAATTACGAACATCAGTGTCATATATGTGAGGGAGGGTTTAATTATGATGATATCAGAGTAAGAGATCACGATCACTTAACAGGTGATTATCGCGGAATAGCTCATAACCGCTGTAATTTAAATTATAGATTCAAAAAATTTATTCCTATTATACTACATAATTTTACAGGTTATGACTCCCATCTGATTTTCAAAAATATTCCCCCTAAACTATTTTCGAGAATTCAGATTATCCCCGTAAATTCGGAAAAATTTACAACGTTTACTTTAGATCATTTCAAATTTATAGACAGTTATCAATTTTTAAATTCCTCGCTAACTACTTTAACAGAAAATTTAAAAAATGCAAATTATAATTTTCCTATTTTTAATAAATTTTTCTATAATAACGAAAATAAAAATTTATTAAAAAGAAAAGGAATTTTCCCCTATTCTTATTTTAAAAACGAGGATATTTTATACGAGAAATGTTTACCCCCGAAAAAATATTTTTATAACGAATTATCTGGAGAAAATATTAGCGATGATGATTATGATCATGCAAAATTAGTTTGGAAAAAATTTCATTGTAAAAATTTTAAAGATTATTTAAAATTATATCAATATGTTGACACTTTATTACTAGCTGATATATTCCAAAATTTTAGAAAATTAAGTTTAAAATATTATAATTTAGATCCAGTATATTTCATAACAGCTCCAGACTTAACATGGAATTGTGGATTAAAAATGACAAAAATTCAACTCGAATTATTTAAAGATATTAATATGTACCTTTTTATTGAACAAGCAATTCGCGGCGGAATTAGCCTAACTTCGAAAAGATTCGCGAGGGCCAACAATCCTCTAATTCCAGAAACCTATGATAAAAATCAACGACATAACTATATTATTTCGATAGATGCTAATAATCTCTACGGATTTGTGATGAGTTCTTATTTACCTGTAAATAATTTCAGATGGTTATCTGAGGATGAGATAAATGCTTTAGACATTTGTAATATTCCCGATAGGAATAATATAGGCTATATTTTAGAGGTTGATTTAAATTATCCACCAAATGTTCATGACCGCCATAATGACTTACCATTAGCTCCTAATCATACATATATTCCATTCGATTTATTATCAAATTATCAAAAATCGGTATTAACTAAATTAAATTTAAAATATAATAATAATAATAAGAAATTAATTCCAACTTTGTTTGATAAACAAAATTATGTAATTCATTATAGAAATTTAAAATTTTATTTAGAAGAGGGTTTAATATTAACTAAAATTCATCGAGTGCTTGCATTTAATCAAGAACCATGGCTTAGAGATTATGTATTGTTTAATAATAAAAAACGGCAGGAATCAACGAATGATTTCGATAAAAGTTTTTTCAAGTTAATGAACAACAGTTTTTTCGGTAAAACCTGTCAGAATGTGAGAAAGCGTTTAAATTTAAAAACAGCCATGACTGAAAATCAATGTCGAAAGTATTTATCTCACTCAGCTCTCGAAAATTTCCAAATTATTAATGATAATCTCACGATTTTTAAAATGAAAAAAATTAACTTATGTTTGGATAAACCGATTTATATAGGATTTTGTGTATTAGAATTAAGTAAATTGCATATGTATCAAACATTTTATAAAATATTTAAAAATAAATATGGTGAAAATGTGAATTTGTTATATACAGATACCGATTCGCTAACGCTTTAAATTTATACTAATAATTTATATAACGACTTTAAATCATTTCCAAATATGTTTGATTTCAGCAACTACCCTAACACATGAATTATTTGATGCAACAAATAAAAATAAGCTAGGATATGTTAAAGATGAGACGGCATCTAAACCTTAATAGAATTTTATTCGCTAACGCTTTAAATTTATACTAATAATTTATATAACGACTTTAAATCATTTCCAAATATGTTTGATTTCAGCAACTACCCTAACACATGAATTATTTGATGCAACAAATAAAAATAAGCTAGGATATGTTAAAGATGAGACGGCATCTAAACCTATAATAGAATTTTGTTCATTAAAACCGAAAATGTATTCGTATATTTTCGATAATCAAAATAAAAAAACGGCTAAAGGAATTAAAAAATCTGTTGTTAAAACCTTTAACCACGAGAAATATAAAGAAGTTCTTTTTAATAACGAGCTATTGAGACATCAGCAGTATGGTATTAAAAGTAAAAACCATGTTGTTACAACATATCTTCAGAAAAAAATATCTCTCTCACTGTTTTATGACAAAAAATTTATTTCTGATAATGGTATAGATGTGATATTGTTCAGACATTATAATTTTTATAATGTTTGTTTTTAAATCTAGTAATTAATCGTATTATCGTTGATAAAGAAAAAAAACTTACGTTCTGTACGTGATGAGATGTCGGTACAAAAAGAAGTCTCTGAACATAAATATTGAATGCAGGGGAGGTGCTTTCAGTAGATTAATTAAAGAATGCAGCCCACAGCTTAACTTCAGGGGTGTAGTAGAGAAAGATTTTTTTATTATCTACAAATCAGAGCCGCTTTTGGATAATTATTTAAAAAAAAGCAGTCCCACAACTTACTTCAGGGGACTGTTTTAGGGTGAAAGATTTCTCCCCAATAATTCCGTTAAGAAATATATTATAAAACCCAATCATATTTTCTTTAAAAACTACAGAAATCGGTAAAAAATGCAATCCGATAATTCCGTTATTTTTTTAAAATATATTACCATATTTTCCTTACCTAAATCAATCACATTTTCGTTTCTCCCCAATAATTCCGTTAAAAAATATATAAAAACCAATCATATTTTCTTTAAAAACTACAGAGATCGGTAAAATTAACGCGGTCCGATAATTCCGTTATTTTTTAAACATATATTACCATATTTTCCTTACCTAAATCAATCACATTTTCGTTAAACACTAACACCAAATCATAATTTTCTTTAAGAACAAATCGTTTAAAAAAAAAATATGCTTCCATGTTCTGTATTAGAACTGAGAATGGTGGGAGTTTCGAACAAAGAGATAGCACAGGGTGTACACGACTAAGTTCCAGGGTATGACAGAAGGGTGAATCGAATAAAATGTTATGTTATCGTTTTATATTATTAAATTCTGTTTTGTATTATTAAATTCTTATACAAATTAAATATAATCTACACTGTATGGGTCTTTATTTTGATATAATATTTTAAAAAAGTTGTAATATAGACGGCGCGAGTTTCGATGTTGTGTTATCGTTTTTTTTTTATTAAATTCTTTTACAAATTAAAATATAATCTATACTGTATCGGTATTTATTTCGATATAATTCAAAAAAAATTTTTTAATATTAAATTTATTTACTAAAAAAATTTTTTATATTAAATTTATATACTAATTGATTTTTGTACCCCAGTTTGCATCATTTCTATACTATTAATATTATTACAACGAAATGCAAGTTCAAAGACATATATACATGAATAACAAATGCAAGCATGTTTACATTTATCATCTGTTTGATTTTTATCCTTTGCTTCTAATGTGGCTTTATGTTGCCGATCTTGCCCCGCTAGTCATGAGTTCAAAACATTAAGTACAATGCTGAGAACAGAATGCCAAGCCATGATCTGGCCACGCGAATAAGTTGAAGTTACATCCTTCTAACAGGAAAAGTAACTTTCGTTATCATGGAATTATAACAAAACCTGCCAATTCAATATAAATGGAAGCAAAATATTATATGGAATTGAACGAAAATGAAAATTTGCTTGATAATTCAACTACGCTTGTTGGAGAACAATAAAAACACTACATTCAACAAGTCACCAATAAAACTCAACTCCTAACCTATAACCAAGGTCTCCTTTTAATTTGTTTTTAAAAAAAAGCGCTTGACAAATTTGCCCCGTATGCCGAAGTTGCCCCGGTCTCAAGAATTTTTGGGACCGGTCCCCGGTCTCAAAATTTACAAGAACCCTGTCTCTTCGTTTAAGATATAGGGGACAGGGTTCTTGTAAATTTTAAACGTTTCTCCCCATAACTGTAAAAACCTAAATTTGTTAAACTTAAAAGTCATTTGTTTTCTAATTCGTTTTAGGACCAGGTGTTGTCCACGAAAATTTCCAAAATTTACAACTTTTAGTCACTTTCATTGAACTGGAAAAATTTCTGTCTTTATTACATCTAATATTACGAAAAAATCGGTCCACACAGTACTCGGTTAAGCTTTTGTTTAAGTAAAATTTCGCTCTTTCAGCAGGGTTTTATTTATTTGTCCACTTCCCTAATCGCTTAATTATTTAAGTACTTTTTAAGTAGAAATTTGTCAAAACCGGTTACATTGAACTCAAATATTTGTAGTCTCGGGAAAAAAGTGGAAAGACAAATTTTTATGACAAACGGATACATAAATCGTAAATTTAAGGAAAATAAATTCTAGAGCTTTTTCTGTACCTGGTGCATCTCTCTCATTCATTAAATTTAGTCGTAAATGATGCTACCAAAGTAACGATTAATTTATTAACATTATAATAGCAATCTTATTAATTTTTTTTTCATATTAGTATAGATATTTGTAATAAGATACATAATTGCGCGATTATTTTTGTATAATTAAAATTAATATGTCTTTATTTTCTATAAAATACAAGAGAAGCGGCGCATCCACCGCTTCCAATGACGGCACGCTACTGTACCAGACAATTCGATTCGTTACACATTTCAAAATTTTTTTAAAACAAAGCTACGTTAAATATATTTCTTTGTTACTTAAATATGAAAGCCTTTCTGACAACCTTAATGACAACAAAAATACACATTCTTTATAGTACACCACATTACCCATTGCGCATTGCTGCGATCTTAGAAGAAAGGAAAATCAAGCAAACTCGTTATGATAAAATTAAATTTACATTTTATCATTTTTATTGAGACTTATTATTATTATTTTAATTATTTAATTGCTGCTTTTTTGCTTTTAATTGCTCTTCCTTGGCGTGTGAAATTTCCGATAGTTGGATAATAAACCGTTTTATTGTAATTTGTCTTTTTAAATCATTTTTAGTTAATATTAAAATTTGGAAAAGGGGGATACCTAGATCGGTAAAATAAAATCGGTAAAAAAAAATCGAATTTCTTCGTACAACTTCAGTAGTTGTTTGGGGTACAGGTAAGGTTTTAACGAAGTTCAAGCGAATACATACAGAATTAGCAAAAAAAAGTTGAAATAAAGTGATTAAACAAAAATTATTACAAATATCGTAAATAACAGTTCACAAATGCATATATAGAAATACTTTTTGCAGGCGGGAAATGGTCTTCACAATTTAAAATCGATCGAACACACAGTGATATGCTTATATAAACGCGCGTCATCTATCGTAGGATAAATGTACTATGCCAGAAACCTTCGCGGAAGTATATTAAACAACTTCCCAAAGTTTCATGGCAATCGGATAAACGGTGTGGTAATGCGTGAAGGACATACAGACAGACACACAGACAGAGATACATTCATTTTTATATATATAGATAATACAAATTTATTTCTTCTCTTCATACATCAATAAATTTTCTCTGTGAAATGCAGTTTTCCTCATGCAATATTTAGTGTGCATTTTTAACATCAAGTACTTTTCTCTTGAGTATAACTGCTATTAAAAGCTTTCTTAAAATTATCGTAAACTTCGTTGAAATTTTTATAGTGAAATCTAGTTAAATTCTCGAAGCACTAATACGTTTATTTTCTAATTATTCCAGTTTCAAACCGCATTATTTTCTCATTCTTCTTGATTAATTTTATGTTCCTCTTCAACTTCTGTTGTACTATTGAACGAATTTAACGATATATTTACATAAATTATATCAAATACATCTCAAAGTAGAGAAATTAAGTATAAATAATAAAATTCCTTAATAATTCTTACTTGATAATGGTATCGTTTAAACGAATACTTTTGGTCTCGGGTAAAGGCAAAATTAACAAACCAGACGAAAGAGTCAATACACCTATTATAATAAAGGGAATACTCCAGTACACCTTTTCACTCTGTGAAAAATAGAATAAATTACATTATATTGTAAACTAGTATAAATAAATTAATGAATGTTAAAAATGAAAGAAAAGTCCTACGAGATCTTTCATAAAAGGTGCAGCAATCGCTCCAATTCTGGAAACTGTGGAACACGATCCGATACCCACGTTACGAACTACAGTCGGGTACAATTCTAAAGTAAATCCATATATTGTGTTTATTACAATAGACACGCAGCATCTGCTTAACACTACGAAAACAATCCTCAGCCATATAAGATCTGTTTACAAAAGACCGTAATATTCAGAATCGTAATACTAATAAAAAATAAAAATAAAAAAAAACGGCAGTTTCAAAACAATATTACATACGTTTTACAGTCGACCCCCCTATAATTACGGTCCCTATAATTACGATTCCTATAAAACTACGAAAAAATATACGTATTTTGGAAATGTTGAGTCGGATTAGTCTAGAATCGATTAATTTTATGGAAGAAAATCTTTCAAACAGCCGTAGTCCGTAAACTTGACACGTGTCAGGTTGTGATTGGAAGGATTTGTAAGAAATCGGATTCCTAAAGAATGGAACGTATCTATATCTTATAGGGGGGTCGACTGTATATTAAAACATAATTTCATATTATTGATGCTAAAACTAATTTTAACGACTAGTTTTATTGATTTCAGTTTTACCGTTTGGAACAGCAGTAATGAGTAACGAAGTGATGCCCACTAAAAGGTATCCAAACATCAAAATACGTCTTCTTCCAAAGCGAGGTAAAATAATGTTCAAAACACCAGAAACACAATATTGTAATGAGGAAAATAAAACAAAAAAAAGAAAGATGTTTCCTCCTGTGATGTCTGCATTCAATGCTAATGAGTAGGCGTCAAATATTATTACAAACCTGGAAGTAGTGGAGGAGATTTAGTAAGTGTATTTAAATAATTCAGATAAGTTAAACGAATGGAGTCGGTTGTTATGTGTGTCATTCCATTTTTTAAAAAGTGAAAACTTCTATTAACACAATCAATGATTTAATATTATTCTATTCGAATATAATTTTGTTAAATTCAATTTTGACACTTTTATAATTTATTTCTTTAATGAATGAAAATTAATGAAAAGCCCGTAAAAAATGCTTACCATAAAATGTACATGATGAAAGTAATCTTGCGTAAGTCTTTATTCCTGATCAAGTGCAAAAAGTTCATTTTCCTCTTCTTCTGGTTCTGTACAATGAAATCACATATAAAAGTTAACCCCATAAGGACATTGAGATTTTTTATATTTTATAATCATTAATTTAATTAAACGTAAAGAAATACTTAAAACTGAAAAAAATGAAAGAAATGCGTTTATTTTGAAGAAAAAGTCTTAAATTTTATTTTCCTTTGTCTTGCCTTTCTGTAAAATTTTACACCGATGAGTCATTGTTTACACAGGTGGATGACCTTGAACACAGCTGGTGTCGTATTTCCCAAGACATTCTCATAGACATCTTGGGAGGAAAAGGGTTTAAAGTATAGTGACTTGAAATTAAACGTATATTTTTAAATATTTTAAAAAAATTATAATTTTTATTGCGATTTCCGACCCCCCTTAGTTAATTAAACATATATAATAAAATCTATTAATTAAAAAAATTAAAAAACTATCGGAGGTCGTTTTTGACATCAGAAAGCAGCTTTAAATAACTTTACCAAAGGAAAATTTGTGCACTACAACTTTAGAACGATTAATTAATTTTGATAAAAAACTCCCATTAAAAAACATTAAAAGGAAATTAAGCCTTAATCGAGCCTTATCAAAGGCTCATTAAAATCGCGATAAAATTTTTTCGCGCAGGCAAAAAAATTTGAAAAAATTTGGGGACCTAAAAAACATTCCAAAAATTCAAAAATTCAAAAAAAAATTTGGGGGTCCAAACGCCCACGTTTTTCGTAACACTATGTAACTTGCCTTAGTTAATTAATTAAACCTTAAGACCATATCCCGAGGAAACTCGGGCAAGATGCATAGCGTTACGAAAAACGCGGGCGTTTGGTCCCCCCAAATGTTTTTTTTGAATTTCTGAATTTTTCGTATGTTTTTTAGGTCCCCAAATTTTTTCAAAATTTTTTGCCCGCGAGAAAAAATTTTATCGCGATTTTAATGAGCCTTTGATAAGATTCGATTAAGGCTTAATTGCCTTTTTTAATAGTTTTCTGAAATAACTTAGTTTATCCTTTTTTAAAGGGAATTGCGTAATCAACTGTAAAAACATGGAAAGACAGATTCGAATCCTATTTTATACAAGAAATTACTAAATACTCGGTGTTCGATTTTACTAAGATTACGAAGAACAAACTGCAACCACGTTAGAAAAAAGAATCCACGTTGTCTCACCAATTGTATATCGGTAATTTTTAATTAATATCCAATTACAACTGTCACTTTAGTAATTTCAAATAACACCGTCAGATTCCTGGTGAAAAGATGTCTGTTCGACGCTTTTACCACTCCGAAGACGGTTTCTCTTTAATTTCTACAACGAACACACATTTATTCTGAAACATATAAAATATTTATGTCCCTTCTTGACGCTTTTCAATCTCTGGTTAATGATAGAACCATTCAAGACAGACGTCTCGGGTATTCGTTATATGCAATTTCGTGTTGTATTTCAAAACATAAATTAATTTTTGTATAGATTTAGAATTCACTTGGAATCACAAACAAAATGACGTTTCCCAAACAGTTTACAGTTATTATTGTAATATTTGCGATGTTACTAACAACGTGTATGCCGGTACCACGATAAAATAATAGCAAAATATACTTTGTACATCTGAAATACAATGCTCAGTGTACTTTATAATAATTGCCATTATCAGCTGAAAGTATTTTATTAAAAGATTTCAGGGTTTGTCATTTAGTACAAATCTTAAAGTACTTATTATTAAAATCGATTTACCGTTTTAATTTTACAATAAAGTTCTTCGATAATTTCGGTTAAATCTTCCGCATGCATTTTATTCATTTTCATTATGTTACGTATAACTTTTTCGGCTTTACGTAGTCTACCGTGAGTTAGGAGCCATCTTGGAGACTCGGGAGTAAAACTAATCAAAAGATATTTTCAAAACATATAAAAATAATCAACACATTAAGCGTAAATAAACGTTACCTGATGAATGCGAGTAATAGAATTGATGGCAAAGTGCTGCATAACTGAATATAAGTCCAATCGTTGAGAAACCAAGATATTCCGGAAAGTATAAGCAACCCAATACCAAAAGAGAAACAAATAGTTACTATGCCTTTTTCTCTGTGTGTTGGTCCAATCACTTCCATAACTGTATACAAAAATCAGTTAGTATTGTTGAAGAAAACGAAATCGACGTTAAATTTACAAATATGTATAGTACGTAAAATATCAACTTAATTATATAATATCAACATATAAGTTATATATAATTTGTCGGTATTAATTGCTTATATACTTCGTGGAAATAAGTATCAAATACATGTAATTCAGTTGAATGAAGTGAAGTTAATACAGTATATGAAACATAAGTTTAAATTTACATACATCTATAAAACAATAGGATGAAGTTAAGACTATTTACAAAAATATAAAATTTTTTAGTCTATCTTAATCCTTTTTTACACCACCCCAGAATTGTTTTTTACTGTTTATTTACCTTTGTTTTTAAGAAGTATATTCTTCAAAAAGAAACAAACTCATGTTGACTGTTACTTCTGGAGTGGTGTAAAAAAGGATTAAGATAGACTCAAAAATTTTATATTTTTGTAAATAGTCTTAACTTCATTTAAGAAGAAATATAAAAATCCTGAGTAATTACAGAAATTGTATCCATAAAACAATAGGAGTTCTTCGCTATTTGCAACTATAAAATTTTCATATTATTTATCTGATTGAAACAGTTCAACTTAATACATCTTTGTGTATTTCTAAAATCTTTTAATTATCGAGTTTTCCAATTTTTTGCAATTACTACAACTTATAATTTTTAAAGTTAAGTTCTTGCATACAAAATGCATAATAACACAAATCTAAAGTTTTCAGATATTTGTAATTGTAACAAATAAAAATAAAGTTAGATTGTCACTTTAATAGTTATTTTTATAGTATAAAGAAAATGAATTTTTAAAACTCTCATCATATGAATAAATTAAATAATAAATTGCAGCGCTATACGTAAACATTATGAAAGTACATTTTTTTCTCTTAAGTGTACAAATTCTAACTATGACTTACCATATACATACAACGTCAGATTAGATGCTGTGATTCCTATAGACAAGAAGAAACGAGATACAGTAAACATCCAGTAATATGGAGAAAATGAACAAAGAATTCCAAAGATTATATGAAACACAAGTCCGGATATTATCACTGGTCTTCTTCCATGTCTATGAAAATATTAAATATAATTAATATGTATTTTAAAACTAAACGTTTTAAAGAAATTAAAGACAAGTTTTCAGACCTATCGGATATCTGTCCAGATACAATAGCGGACACGAGGAATCCCACGAAGAAAGAAGAACCAGCGAGAGAACTTAACCAAGAACTTTCACAAACTAAATTCCACTGAAAATTGCGAATAGAATTAATCTTCGAATATATGTTTAAGTAAAGTCTTTTAATACTTACCTTTTCAATGACACTACTTTTGTATCGTGAATGATCGTATTCCCACGAGCGACAAGGAATCTTTGAAAAGTTCTTTCCATATTTGATATCGTCAATATCGTATACTTCACATCGACTATGCGTTGTTCTCCCGTTTCTGATTTCCAGGGGTGCGCTGATATTTTTCCACTCTTCCACGGTCAAGTTCACGTATTTCGGTGTTCTCGCGCACCAATAATCCACCTTGTACGCCAAGAATGGCCAATTTAAATTGTTTAATGTCGAAACAATAATACACCATGCCATCATCCCGATTATCATCTTCTATTTCAGGGTTTGTCATTTAGTACAAACCTTAAAGTACTTATTATTGAAATCGATTTACCGTTTTAATTTTCCAATAAAGTTCTTCGATAATTTCGGTTAAATCTTCCGCATGCATTTTATTCATTTTCATTATGTTACGTATAACTTTTTCGGCTTTACGTAATCTACCGTGAGTTAGGAGCCATCTTGGAGACTCGGGAGTAAAACTAATCAAAAGATATTTTCAAAACATATAAAAATAAT